TGCATCACAAGAACTTTGAGTCTTTAAAGAAGAAAATTAAAGAAGACACCAGATAATGGGAAAGATCTCCCATGCTCTTGGATAGGTAGGATCAAAGTAATAAAAATGGCAATCCTGCCAAAAGCAATCTATAGATTCATTGAAATCCCCATTAAAATACCAGCAAAATTCTTCACAGACCTTGAAAGAATAATTAATTTTGTATGGAAAAACAAAAGACCCAGAATAGCCAAAACAAAGCAACATCTGGAGGCATCACCATCCTTGACTTCACGCTCTATTATAGAGCTGTAGTCCTAAAAACAGCTTGGTATTAGTACAAAAACAGACAGGTAGACCAATGGAATCAAATTGAACACCCTGATATTAACCCACACATGTATGAACGTCTGATCTTCGACAAAGAAGCTAAAAATATACAATGGAAAAAAGAAAGCATCTTCAACAAATGGTGCTGGCAGAACTGGATGCTAGCATGTAGAAGAACAAAACAAGTCCAAATGGATCAAAGACCTCAACATAAATCCAGCCACACTGAACGTCTTAGAAGAGAAAGTGGGTGGTACCCTTGAACAAATTGGTATAGGAGACTGCTTCCTGAACATAACACCAGTAGCACAGACACTGAGGTCAACAATTAATACATGGGACCTCCTGAAACTGAGAAGTTTCTGTAAGGCAAAGAACACAATCAACAAGACAAAAAGGCACCCCCCAGAATGGGAAAAGATATTCACTAACCCCACATCTGACAGAGGGCTGATCTCCAAAATTTACAAAGAACTTAAGAAGCAAGTCTCTAAAACACCAAAGGATCCAATTAAAGAGTGTGCTACAGAACTATATAGAGAATTCTCAATAGAGGAATCTAAAATGGCTGAGAGGCACTTGAGAAAGTGCTCAACATCCCTAGTCATCAGGGAAATGCAAATCAAAACAACTCTGAGACACCATCTTACTCCTGTCAGAATGGCTAAAATCAAAAACACCAATGATATGCTGGAGAGGTTATGGAGAAAGGGGAACACTCCTCCACTGCTGGTGGGAGTGCCAACTTGTACAACCACTTTGGAAATCAGTATGGAGATTCCTCAGAAAAAAAATGTGAATAATCCTACCACAACACCCAGCAACTCCTCTCTCAGGCATATATCCAAAAGATGCACATTCATACAACAAGGACATCTGTTCCACTATGTTCATAGCAGTATTATTTGTAATAGCCAGAACTTGGAAGCCACCTAGACACCCCTCAACAGAAGAGTGGATAGAGAAAATGTGGTATATTTACACAATGGAGTACTATTCAGCAGAAAAAAAAAAACCAATGGAATCCTGAAATTTGCAGGCAAATGGATGGCACTAGAAGAAACCATCCTGAGTGAGGTAACCCAGTCACAAAAAGACAAACATGATATGTACTCTCTCATTTATGGATTTTAGACATAGATATGCGGAGTGCCAGCCTACAATCTTAACTGCCAGAGAGTCTGGGAAACAAAACCTTCATTCAATGGCTGATGGAAACAGAGGCAGACTCCCACAGCTAAACACTGAGCTGAACTCAAGGAACCCAGTGACAGAGAGGGAGGACTAATGAGCAAAGTGGTTAAGACTGGGCTGGTTTAACCCCCAGAAACAGCTGACCTGACAAGGGTTACCTCTCAAATCCCAGACTGATAGCTGGGATTCCAGCATGGGACTGATCAAGACCCCCTGAATGTGGGCGTCAGTGAGGAGGCCTAGGTAATCTATTGGGCCTTGGGTAGTAGATCAGTATTTATCCCGGGTATACAAATGGACTTTAGGTGCTCTTGCCACAATGAGAGATGCACTCTCATCCTGGACTCCCATCCTTACCCTGGATGAAATGACAGCCTCCCCCTCCCTGGGAAATGAGGGGGTACTGGGGAGTTTGGAGAGAAGGTGTGGGAGGAGGGGAGGGAAAAGGAGAGGGACCTGGGATTGACATATGAAGCAACTTTGTTTCTAATTTAAATTTAAAAATAAAAAAATTTAAAAATAAAGATGTATTTATTTATTGTGAATACAAACACAGCAATATGAAGCAGTCAATCTGAAACAAAGATAGCCACTAAATTATGTAGGATAATACAGCATGGATATGCTGGAGAAAGAGACACGGAAAATTGGCATCCCTCCTGGGAGCTACCATAACCTAGCCAACAGTTTCAGAGGGTAGTCCATAGTGAGAACATGACAGCGGGCGGCTAGGCACCGCACTGGAGCAGTAGTTAAGAGTTTACATCTCATCCACAGGTTCTTGGCAGAGAGAGACTGTGACTGGTGCTGGTGTGGGCTTATGAAACCTCCAAACCCATCCCCAGTGACACACCTCTTCCAACAAGGACACAGTTCTATTCCTTCCTAAACAGTCTAAAAGTGGAGAACCAATCATTCACAAGTCTAGCCTATGGGGAATATTCTTATTGAAACCACCACTGCATATTTCACCATGTTCCTCAGAATGGCATGCAATTCAAAAGTCATAAATTGCTTAAAGAATTTTTTATTGAAGATTTCCACCTGCAGTTGATCTCAAGGACTTGAAACCATAGGCAGTGAAATTTTAGATTAAAGCTCATCTAAGGATTAGCTCCTGCCTATGCAAGAAGGAGGGAATAATAGCACACAGAGTGGGAAGCTGACAATCCCTGTCCTCATTTTTTAAGATTTCCTCTTTCCTGTCAGTCCTCTGGTGAACTTTGGAGACAGTGCACCTCTTGTACTGAAAGCAGCAATGTCTCACACAGTCCCATGGGTGTCTGACTACACCATGGTGTTTCTCCAGTTTGCAATGGCAATCCTACTGTAAGTACTCTTGACAAGGATTCTACTAACCTGGAACCTCAACAAACTGTTTCTGCTTCTTGAGGCACCGACCTTAGGACTCTGGTTCCCAGGACCAATGGAATAACAAAGCAACTAGACTTTCAATTTTAGTGCATTTGAAATATGAAAGAAATGAGATTATCAATCTCCAGCTTCATTCTGCACAAAGAAATGAGTGATTTCATAGAAAAGTAACAGTTTGTGTATTGCTGTGAAATAATCCTTGTGTACACTGTGTGAATACATGTCCCTCTGAATGGCTTAATAATCAAGCTGACTGGCCAATAGCTGAACAGGATAAAGTTAGGAAGGAAAGCCAAACTGAGAATGATGGGATGAAGAAGGCCAGAGTCAGAGGAGTCACCAGCCAGATGCAGAAGGTGTCAGACACACAAAATGAAACAGAGGTAAAGGCCACGTGCCTTGGTGCAATGCGTGGATAATATAAGCCTCAGAGTGACTATTTGGAAGTGACTATAGGATGGAACGGGACTGAGAAACTTCTGTTACAGTGTGTAGTATGCATGACTGTATGTATACACACATTCACATGTGTGTAGTCCTTTGTGTGTATGCAGGTGCACAAACACATTAGCATACATGCATATGGAGGCCAGAGGTTGAGGTCAGATGTCTTTCTCCTTCACTGTCTGTCTTCTGACATGAGAAAGGGTATCTTGGAGTAACCTAGTTAGCCAGGTGCTAGCTATCTGATGTCATAACCTCTTGAGTGCTTAGGATTACAGGTGGGCATCACACTCCATTAGTATACATGTGGGTGCTGGGGATCTGAACCCTAGTCTTCTGTGGGCAAGAGCTTTACCCGCTCACTGGGCCACCTTGAAGCTCCCAAACACTCCTTTTCCTAAATATTGACAGTGGTTTTGCTCAGAGTTTAATCCAAGCTTTGGAATGTGATGTTATTCTCTCTGTGGTCCACCTCTTCATGCCCATCTCACACTACTTGTCCCCATTAACTTTTCCACAATTTGGAAATCATTGCTATTTCTTTCACATAGCTTGCTGTTTCTTATTTCATTGTCTTTATATAAGTCCTGAGTGCCATTATAATATTCTAAGCTATGTTTTCAGGCTAATTTACATTTGTTCTTTAAAATCCAGCTCCAGGTTCCATGAATGGTTCAGCTTGCAAAGCTGCTTGCCTACAGGCCTGATGACCTGAGTTAAATCCCCAAGAGTAATGTGGTGAGAGGAGAAAACCCACTCCTGAAAGGTGTCTTTTGCCTTCCCCATGTGTCCAACCCCACCATCAACCATGAAAACAAATGAATACATAGATGTAAATTAAAAATTGAAATCCCAGCTCTCATGTACCCCTCATGGAACCATTCTCAGAGCCCTAGGCTGGTTTAGACATCTAAGTGTTTTCATACAGGGCAGCTTTATCCTTTACTTGTCTGAGATAAGAAACTAGCTTAAGTCTTTGTATCCTAGCATCAAACAGTGCCCACTGCAAAGATGTTTAGTAATCACTGAATGAGTTTTAGTTAACACAACTAAGACAGGAACAAAGAGTAAGGGTGATGTTGGTGTCTAACCACTTGTGAGCCGACCGATCCTGAGTTACATTCTGAATTCAGAGAGCTCTCAGTTTTACAGCACCCACTTCGCTGTTGGGTCCATCCACAGTAGATGGTGAATTGTTTTACCAAGTGAATTGTAAGAAATGGTGGCTACTGCTGGGTGGTGGTGGCGCACGCCTTTAATCCCAGCACTCGGGAGGCAGAGGCAGGAGGATCTCTGTGAGTTCGAGGCCGGGCTGGACTGATAGCCTCCAAAACAATACAGAGAAACCCTGTCTCATAAAAACCAAAAAAAAAAAAAAGAAAAAGAAAAAGAAAAAGAAAAAGAAAAAAAGAAATGGTGGCTACTATTTCTTTGTGAGTAGTGGGAGAATTTAATATAAGAAGCCAAGATAACCTTTGTAGGCTTTGTCTACTTTAAAGATTAATTTAACCAATATATGAAAAGCCCTTATCACAGTTTGGGACAAGACAACCACTTAGAAACAACATTGGATTAACTTATAGTTTACTGTACCTTTAGGGAAATGCTTCCCTGTGATTCAGAAATAAATACAAGTCTGAATAAATTGTAAACAAGTTCTATTGTTTCATCTCACTTACCTTTCTATTGAAGATGTTTGGGAAATCGACCAGCACTCTATAGCTACATGGAAACAAAAAGTTACAGTATCAGGGGTAGAAACTCAGGCTAAGTAAGTTTAATACTAAAAGATGAAATCATAAACTGGGCAGTTCTGGCTCATGCATTTAATAACAGCACTTGTTAGTCAGAGGCAGGCAAATCTATGATCTTGTACCCAATCTGATACACAGAGCTAATTCCAGGACAGCTAAGGTCAAGAGTACATAGAGAAACCCTGTCTCAAAAAAAACTAAAGCAAATACACAAATAAACAAAAACTAAAAAGATGAAATTGTGGGATATTTACCAAATATCTTTCCTCTGGGGAAAACATCTTCATTCTGCTTCAAGGGAGAATATCAAAATGTTAGAGAAATAGCCCAACTATCAAAGCTAATTTTTAAAAAATTATTCTTATGTATGCTTAAGAAAAATAGGAGAGAATGGTCAATTGTTTCTTACCCTCTCAGAACATGAACTGCCATTTTTCCATAGCTCAAGCTTCTTCTTAAATAATTCACAAGTTCTTATGAGGATTATCTCAAAAGCAACTCCCAGGAAAATTGTAAACAGGATTGATATCCAAGCATTGTTAAAAATCCAGTAGTCTAGAAAGTCCCATATTGTGTAAAACCTATTCTCATCTAAGACAGATTTCATTCTGGTTTTAAATAAATGGTATATATTTGACATAATGACCTGGTATCTTATTGATACCAGAAGGCATTGATTTCAAGAAGCCCATCAAATATGAAATACTGCCTTGTTCATCTATTTCATAAATACAAGAAAAGTCATGCCAGAAAAGAAAAACATTTCTAGCATCATTCAGTGCCTGTGTCCAATGGTGCAGTGCTTGCTCTGGGACTTGGTAAAGTAAGGTATATGTCACAGTGGGTATTTAACTGAGCTCACAGCAACTCCTGCAGTGACAAAAGGTCACAGGTGAAACATGGTCAGTCCATATATGGTACTAGTGTTGGACGTATGTAGGCTATTTTGGGGGGCCTTACATACCCTGTACTGACATGGAACTCTGATGTAGCCTGCAGGCTTTGAACTAGAGATTCTCCACTTCAGCAAAGGTGTGCACCACCTCTGTTCACACCATTGTGTGGTTAGTCTTTTTTTCTTGAGACAGGGTCTCCTTCTACAACACAGGGTAGCCTGGGACTTTTTATATAGCCTAAGCTGCTCTGGAACTCATGGAAATCACTTACCTTAGCCTACTGGGATTATAGGTATGAGCCACCATACTCAGTATATATTTTTTAATTAAACAAATAATTTTCTACTAATTTAATCAAAGCAGCATAATTATATACACAATCTCTTGACATAATGGAATTTTTGCCATAATGAAAAAAATATGTACAATACAGTAGAAGTTAGAAAGCCTCTTTATATAATAACTTCACTTCCTCTCAGCAATAGTGTGTTTATACTTCCTTGTAGTCAAGAATATATGGTCCTATCTTTGACTAATGGTTAACTGACAAGAGTAACAAATAAAAATACTGGATTTTGTAACTAGGAAATTTGTCAAAGTTTAAAACTGAGCCAGCTGGTAAGGGTCATACTTCGGCATCCCAAGGAAGAGGAGGAGGAGAGGCAGAGAGGCAATAAACTGATAACTGACACCATACCCAATGGATTTTTTTGAGTCTTAAAAAGACATGGAGAGATAGCTCAGTCAGTAAAATACTTTCTTTGAAAACAAGAGACCTGGCGACTTGGCCTAGGTATTCACAGTGCCTGCTGGCTAAAGATATCCATGGCCTACCCAACGCCATGGCATAATAATGAGCAAATATATAGTGGAGAAATAGGAGACAAAGAGAAACAGAGCAGTTCATGTGTTGTGGAAAGAGGCAGACTGGAGAAATGAAGGAGGTGAAGAACAGACTGATAGGGTGACCTGCCTGCCACCCAGTGTCGCACCTGCTGTGCGGCCTGCATCCAAGAATGTAGCGAGATGGTCGGGATAGATGACACAGAGACCGGTCGGTTGCTTTTAGAAAACTTTATGTTTCCCAAGTCAGCTTAGGAGGAGATCCCAGTCCGCTTAGCAGAGCTCTCAGGAGAAGTCTCAGGAGAAGTCTCAGGAGAAGTCTCTCTAAGAAAAAGGAGCTTCCCTTTTTAAGGACTTCTGCCATTCATCTACATACCATTCTTTCCTCCTGGCTGGTGGTCTAATCTCCGGCCCCAGAATCAGGGAGACACCACAGGGAAACAGGAAGAGGCATCTGGCCGTAGGGGGTATGAAAGGCATGGTATTTCAGTGAGCAAGCCCTTATCTCAGCCCTATGAAGAGCTTTAAAGCACTGAATTGTTTTCAGTAAACATTACACAGATGCCTGCTCCCAGGCCGAAGGGGAAGTGGGTTTCTGCTCAAGGTCTGGTGTCCCCACAACCCAGGACCAGGATGATGTCCAGGCCCAAGCTGTTGCCAAAGGCCATCTCTAGGTCTGTGGTCCTGTTGCAACTGGGGTCTGTGTCAGTATCTATGGCCCCATGTTACCATAGGGGCCATAGGAGCCATGCATGTTGAAGTCTGAGGTCTCTACTGAGCTGGCCTCATAAATCAATGGCCATGGCATAGCTGGCCCTGCCACTCACTGGGCACTGCATTAGAAGACCTGGTCAAGGCCATCATGAGAGCTGCCCTCCACTATTCAGGAGAGATGGCCCCACCCCTTATCACCAATGTGGGAGAGCTGGCCCCAATGTCATGGGGGGTGGGAGAGCTGGCTCTTGCACTCTGAGGGGGACAGTCCCAGTAGTCTGGACTGACCAGCATTGCTACCACCCAGGACCACATTCTGGGCTCTGGGTTGGCCTACCCTAATATCTACCCTATCTATGAGCTGCCAGAACAGCTCATGTGACTGGTCCTGCTGAATCTCCATGACTCAGGTATCTGAGAGGAGTTTTGGTGAGGGTCTGGTGATGATGGGGTGTCAGAGGCGAGAGGCTTTGAACAAGACAATGACTCATTGCAATGAACATTTGTGGGTGGGGTGTTTGGACAATGGGGTAAACTGTGTGACCACTGCAGCTCCCATTGCCATTAAGATGAATGAAGAGATGTTGGAAGGGTAGGGAAGATGAAGTTCACTTTGTTTTTAATTAATTATTTTTCTGGTTTTTTTTTGTGGGACACACTGCAGGGGTGAGAGCTGATATGGGGGGACTGAAAGGTGAGCAGGATTGGGATACATGATGAAATTCCCAAAGAATCAATAAAGATGTATGTTATATACAAAAAAAGAAAGCATAAGGACCTGAGTTCAGTCTTCAAAATCCATATAATCAAAGGCCAAACATCATTGTGTGTGTTTGCAATCCCAGTGCTGGGGAACACGCCCATTCCTGAGGTGTCATGGCAAGCCAGTATAGCCTTTTTGGCGAGTACAAGGCCAATGAGAGAAAAATAGTGAACAGCACTGGAGGAAAAACACCTGGTGTTGTTTCTTACCTCCACATGTACATAAACATTCACCAAGGCAAACACATCCTCCTGCACACACATGAACACAAACACATACATAGAAAATGTATGTGTCCACTAACCACTCTAGTGTCCATTAACTACACTTCAGATCAACAGCCTTTAATGGAAACTACCTCATCCATATCTCATCCAGACCTCCACCATTAGAATTTTGGAACAAATCCTAGATACACCATGTGGTTTGTAAATATTTTTACTATGTATCTGCATAAGGGCTTTTAAGATGACCACAATGTCACTGTCACATCTATAAATAACAACCAGATTACAGTAGTGATACATTTAAAATAAAATGTATGCTTCAAAAGACTGCTTGCCCCTTTTGGTGATACTAATCAGGACTGTAATCTTGAGTTTAGTTTCTAGTCACAAATGAAAGGGAAGAAAGAACTGAGTGATTAGGTGCAGTGTGATGGCTATTCTTGGTTGTCAACTTGACTACATTTGGAGCTAACTAAACCCAAGTGGTTGGGTACACCTATGAGACATTTTCCTCAATTAAACCTTTAGAAATGGGAAGTCCCACTTTTAATCTGGATCTTCTGAGCTGGGAAGATACACTTTTATCTGGGCCATACCTTCAGATGGCAGTCTATGTAATGAACATGGAAGAAGGAAGCTTGCTGCTCTCTTTGGATGCTTGCTCTTACCCTTGCTGGTAAGTTCATTCCTTCACTGGCATTAGAACCTAAGTTCTTTGGGATAGCAGTGCATACTGAAGACCAGCTGAAAAATCCAGCCTCAGGGAGCAGGCAACTACTGGATTCCTCTGTTGGTGAACAGCCATTGTTGGACTAGCTGGACCACAGCCTCTAAGCCATTCTAACAAAATCCAGTTTCTAGACATAGATTATAGAAAGATAGAGAGATATATTCATTCTATCCATTCTGTTCCACTTACTAGTGCATGCATGATGCAAAATTGCCAAAAAGTGAGCCAAAATATTACAAAAAATTAAAAGCAAATTTAGTCAGAGAAATCACATTCCAATTTTTATAAAGTAAAGGAAAAAAGTTCATATCATCTTAGTTACCTACCTCATTTTTTTTCTTATAGCTTTTGACTGCTAGTTTTAATTATCACCTTGACACAATCTAGAATCACAGGGTGGGGGAGTCTCAGTGGGAAATTTTCTAGATAAGGTTAGTTCCTGGAATTGTCTTGAACACATTTGTTGATATGGGAAAACCCAGACCACTATGGGTGGCAGCATTCTCTAGGACTAGGTCCTGGACTGAATAAAATGGGGAGAGTGAGCAGACACTGGCAATCACACCTGCATGTGTTTATCATTCTTGGCTGTGGGTGTGATGTGACCAGATGCTTCAATTTTCTGCTACCTTGATTTCCTAACAGTTCTGGACTATTACCTGGAAGTGTGAGTCAAACCCTTCTTTCCCTAATTGCTGTTGTCAGAGAGTTTTATCACCACAGCTGCAAAGGAAACCAAGAAGCATCTATGCCATTAGTTAGAGTAAACATATATTCTGCTGAGTCTAGTCTTAATAGAAGACTATAACCTTTGTATTTCTCAGTTTGTGATTTACACATTTGATGGGCAAAAGCCTCATCCACAGCCCACTCTCCCATACTGCAGCTTTCTCCCTTGTCTGTTCTCCATCACTCAAGTTCCCTGAGTTCCATACACCACAGGAGGCTTTCACATTGTGACATAGACTCTGGCTTTGTTACTGGTATCACCACAGGGAGGTGTTCACACTGAGCAGATGGATCTCTGGAAGCTATTTCTACACCAGGATAAAATAAGAAGTGAATGTCAGTCACTTAAATACATAGATAGCCCATTAATCCCATTGAGAATACATTCTCAGCTCCTCCTAATCCCAGAAATGCTTGCAGCCTCTACAGTCTCATTGGATTTGAAGGCAGATTGAAAGGGTAGGTCAAAGAGGAAAGAAATAATGCTTTTAGCTACACTGGAAATATATTACAAATCTTCGGGGCCACAATGCCCCATCTTTTTTTTTTTTTTAGCATTTATAGTATATGTACTATACATGTGCTCATGTAATATAAGTTTATATTAAAACACAAATATGTATAACACTTGTTTATCAATATCCATATTGGAGCACGAATTATAAGTGGTCTTAATAATAAAACCCAGAGTCAGCTATCAGGATGAAACTGAAGTAGACATGCAGAGCAGTTCAGCTACTAGAGAGTTCTTACCTCTACCAGTGTGTGGTGATATCCTGCTTATTATACAAGTAAAGCCTGCCTAAAGGTCAGAGAATGGAGCTTGTCAGCAGCTAACCATAGAGGTCTGGAGGTCTGTACAGACAGTCAAGAAGGAGATGGCTGGGTAGAGAGAAGATATAAGAGGGCAGAAACAGGAACTTGCACTCCTGACTGCTGAGTGCTCTAAGGAGGTAAAGTGTGGCTGGGGCTTGCTCCTTCTCTCTGTTCTCTGAGCATTTTCCTCTATATCTGACTCCAGGTTTTTATTATTTAGACCAATTAACAACTCCATTTACATTTTAACAACTCCACATGGCCTGAACATGGCGCTCAGACTGGCCCTGAGAATGCCACTACCTGCTGTGGCCTCACTCAGTCAAGTGGGCCATGCCCAACTCCCTGCTCCTCCCCTCCACCCAGCACCAGCAGCTTACACTATCCCTAGAACCCTTTTCTTTTAATTCAGTGCTTTGAGTCAGCTTTTATTTAGACCAAGGGGACATTCCCCCAGACCGCACGATTTCCCAGAGCCAGCACAGGCATTATGACCAGCCCATAGCTTCAGCCCGCCACACATGGCTTCAGCCCACTGCGTTGTGATCAAGTGATTGGCCATCAACACATGCAGGTTGTTCCATTTTCCCTTTCTCTTTAACAAAAACCTATTTGGTTTGGTTTGAGGTTTTGCTTAGAATTCAAAGGTTGGACAACATTGGGACAAGTTTGACAGGAACTTCCCTGTTCTCGGACTTGCTTTGGCAGTACGCCTTCGACATCTGCCGGCCAAATATCATCATTGCAACTCAAAATTAAGACCATAAGAGGCAAGGATGACCTTCTGAGTATTTAATTTGAGGTAAATTATTGGATATATTTGCACTTTAAGCTTTTAATAAATTAATTAATAAAAATGTTATTTATTCTTTGTTAACTACTGCTATAACAATGGTAGATAATATTATCATCCAGGAATTTAAAAATCTTTGCTTCTACTATGGATGGAATTTTAGGTTTTTGTTTTTTTGAGACAAGAGTTTCTCTGTGTAGCTTTGTAGACCAGGCTGGCCTCAAACTCACAGAGATCCACCTGCCTCTGTCTCCTGAGGGATTAAAGGCGTGTGCCACCACCACCAGGGCCCCATGGATGGAATTTTAAAAGAGGTATACAACCTACCTGGGACATAAACACTCTTAGCCATAATTGCTGTTATCTTGATAATCCATATCATATCCTTGAAATGGTTTGATGATAGATCTAAATGAGGAACTTATAGAAATGATACAGATTTTAAAAACTGGTAATGAGAGTTTAGCAAAAAGGGTTCATACAATTAAAAATGACAATCATAATTTGACAAACTGAATTCAAAAGTCGAACATGGCAATGAACTCTTAACAAAAACTTTATTCCATGTCTAAGAATAATTGCAAGCTTGAAGACAGAATATTGTTTTTGGAAGGCAATATGTATGCCATCCCTAAGAATGTGAATATTAAATCTCTGGAATCATGTAAATGATGAGAACAAGAAACTGACTGATATAACAAAATCATTGGAATTCCATTTTTACATCCCAAGTAGTTCAAATGCTCCAAGAAACAATGGTAAATAGATTACAGGCTATAGAAGACCTTAAAACTGAGACACTAGGAGTTAAGGTTCAAACTAAAGAGAATAAAAAAGATTTAATATTTCCAGTACCTTTCAGCATCTGAGATGACTTACCAAAGGTTGTTATCATCATCACCTACTATGGTCTATCTTGTTACTATTACTCAAAAGCAAGCAAATAATGGACGCCCAGATGGACATAGAGAATGCAAATTGGAGCATATACTGGTGGATATGAGGTATTAAGCAAGCAGTAGTTTCTTATGGTATACATTCTTCACCATATATGAGGCAGTTAGTAAAAGCGTGAGCTACAAGAAATAGACTGGCTTCAGTTAGTCTCAGAAGTTCTAGAACTTGGTCCATAGCTGCAGTGGAAGTCATATTGGAGGGGAGAGACCAAGGCTCTTGAACATCAAGGCAGAAGGTTATGGGGCTTCCCAAGATCAAATTCTTGGTCAGGACTGTTATGATGATGCAGATACTCAAGCCACATACAATGAGCACATCTTATCCCTATGTCGTGCAGCAGCCTTGAATGCTTGGAACAAGATTCAAGAACCAGGGGAAAGAATTTTGTCATATACTAATGTTATACATGGCCCAAAAGAGCCCATTAGTGACTTTTTGCAAAGGTTGACTAAAGCTGTACAAATAGGGGTAGCAGATCCAGAAGCTAAATGAGTACTCATTGAATCTCTAGCTTTTGAAAATGCTAATTTAGAATTGTACTTGGGCCCTTAAAGATCAGATCAGCATCAATGGATGAATAGATCCTGCACATAGCCCGTGTTGAGTCTTTTGACTATAACACTGAGGCTTGGATAAGAAAAGCAATCTCCAAAGGTATGAGGAGACATCAAAATACTAAATGTTTTAATTGTGGTAGAATAGACCATCTGAAAAGAAACTGTAGATAGAGCATTCCTAGAAATAATGCTTCTTCTGGGAATAACCCAAATAGAAGACCCCCAACCTTTCACATTATGTAGAAGATGCAGCAAAGGCCACCATTGGATCAACAAATGTAGATGGACAAGAAACAAAAAAGACAACCCTTCTCCATTGGAAAACTCCTCGAGAGGTCTCTTGAAGACTCCTCTGTCAAAACTGGCCCAGTGATTCCCAGTCACTGTGGAGGACAATCCTCCCCAGAACAATCAGAAAATCCATTGCCTATTGTAAAAAATCATATTATACTGGATAATAGAATAGCTTTGGAAGGTGAATCAAAAATTCAAGGAGTAAACAGAAAACATATTTTGGCAGACTTCTATAAATGACCAAAGACCAAAACTAAGAGTACAGATAAATAATGTTATACTCAAAGGATTACTGGGCATGAGTGTGGTTGTCACCATTATCACTCCAGAATCTTGGCATTCAAGTTGGCCTCTTCAGGAGGTAGATGTTCAATTCTTATGGATTGGAACCCTATCTCAGGTAAAACAAAGCACAAGATGGGTTCAATCTATAGGGCCAGAAGGACAAAGAGGAATGCTGAGGCCATATGTTGCTAATATAGCAGTAAATCTATGGGGTCATGATCTGTTGCAGCTAAGAAATACCCAAATTAGCATTCCTCCATTATCAAAAATGAACCATAAGCCAACTCATGTTCATGAAAAAAATGTTATAAGACACTAAGGATGTAAGGCATGGCTATGCCTTGCTCCTTCTCTCTAATATCTCAGCATTTTCTTCTACATCTGACTCCAGATTTTTTATTTAATAGCCCAATTAAGAACTCCATTCACACCAATGCTGACAAAATGGGCAATCTTGCCTCTATGAATCCTCAGACTGCATCTCACACTGAATTCTTAGACTGCATCTTCAGACTGCCTTATATTCTCTGCCCAACCATATTTCTTCCTGTCTTCACCCCCCTACTGTTGAGATTAAAGGTGTAAGCCATCACTGCCTGACTGTTTCTCTTTGAGACTTTATCAATCTAGTGTAGCCCAGGGTGGCCTTGAACTCACAGAGACCTGTCTGCCTCTGCCATCTGAGTGCTGGGGCTAAAGGTGTTTGCAACCAGTTCCTGGCCTCTACAGCTAACTACTGGCATAGTTTCTTATCTTCAGGAAAGCTTTATGTGTTAGGTTACAAACAAAATATCACTACACCACACATTAGCAACAAATATTTATTCAAGGTTTCCCAGGGGTCAGACCTCATCCTGAATAATAAACCTAACAAAAATTAGTAAGTGTAATCTCAAGTTAGGAAACTCACAGTGAAGTGCAATCTAGAGTTAGCAAAGCCAGTGATAGGTTGAAGAAGAAAATGTTCTGAAAAGCTTCTCTCTCTCTCTCTCTCTCTCTCTCTCTCTCTCTCTCTCTCTCTCTCTCTCTCTCTCTCACACACACACACACGCACACACACACTCAAAAATTAATTACCAGAAGTGGATATGAATAACATCTACCCCTTCATCTTAAGGTATGATAACTATCCAAAATATTTCACCACAGTCCATCCAGGACAATTAATGAGTTTACTGGGCTTGCACACAGCATGGATGAGAGCTTATAAGCATGGGCAACTCCAAAACAGCCAAACTGGAAAATCTTCACCTATAGTGGATGATGCATAATCACACAGATGAAACCCCCTTCCCCAAGTCATCCCTAAGTCTATGTACTATAGCACCTTTCTGAGACTCTGAGATCACAATTTAATTAGAGCAAGATTTCATACAGATGTCTGAGAGGAACCTGATAACTGATGGTGTGGAACACTCCTTCTGAAAGGGAAAGGGAATGTCAACAGTACACTAGCCTGATGGGCTCTCAAAAGTAGGCACTGCTGATCCCATAAAGATGATGGCAGTTTTCCAAAAGGATAGTACCTTACAACTTACAACTCGCTCTCTCTCTCCCTCCCTCCCTCCCTCCCTCCCTCCCTCCCTCCCTCCCTCCCTCCCTCCCTCCCTCCCCCCCCCTCTCTATCTCGGACACAGCATATATAAGCCTAGCCCCATTTCAATACATTCATCTTGTATCTATGCTAAAACCACAAATCTTTGGCCTAGCACATCTATATAGAATAAAACATTTAAAGTGAATGGTTGTAAAAAGCTCTGAATCAAGTCATCTGATGATCCATATGGCTTCTTTGACAAACACAAGACTGAAGAGAGCTGACTGGCTCATACATACATGGCTCTCCTTTGCAAATATTAAAATAGTGACATATGTGGCTGGTGTAGCTATAGGCCATTGACAGTGAAGATGTTCAGGTTTTAAGGTAATTAGTGAACTTGGATATGCATAGGGAGGAGAATGTAGTTTTCAGGATGTATCCTCCTGCAACAGCTAGTGTTAGCCTGAGGATTTCTACTTCTTACCATATCCCCAAAGCTCTTGACCTATTACTTTGAAGAGGGAGAACTAAGTATATGCTATTTTGCTCTGCAGGTGTTTAAGTGATACATTTTTAAATTACAGTATCTGTATCAAATAGTTTTTCTCTCTGGCTTTGGCTTTGAATGATTGCTACTTAAGGGGAGGGGAACAATGAAAATGTATGTTATTAGGTTCCTTCAAAATAGATTTCCCTGTTACAGTTTACATCATCACACCCACTGAAAATGAGAATGTCTGAATGGCATCCTTAGAGAGAATGAATCAATCTCCTCGATGCCTAAAGCAACCAACACTAGAGGTTCCACCACCAAGTTTCCAGACTGCCCTGAGATTTGGAAGATATATACAGCTGTGAAGCTTTGATTTACATCTCAACAGATTTCTGGGTTATGAGCCTGAAGGAGAAAATGGGATCTTCCATGGAGGAAAGTAGGCTGATATTTTCAAGAATCCCGGATGCCAAGAGTAGGCCATGAAGACGGGGGCCCCATTTCGGTCCCATGCTTTGTTTCAGGAACAGTGGGGACAGAAGAGCCCACAACCCTCTTCCTGTTGACTAAATGGCTGCCTCTCCCCACCCTGTCCATCCACCTCACCCCCAGAAAGCAGGGGACACAGAGCCTCCTGCGCTAATCTCAGGCCTCTGAGCCTGACTTTACAGGGCTGTGGTCCTCATGACTGAGCCAACATTCGCGTGGCGGGGATCCCGCGGCTCAGGCGGGCGGCCTGTGCCCCTCAAGGCTTCTCACAGTGACAGCTGGAAGAAAGTCCGGGTGTCTTCGCACTCCAGCACAGACCCTTTAAGAACCTGGCTCCAGCCCGGCAGTGGTGGCACACTCGGGAGGCAGAGGCAGGCGGATCTCTGTGAGCTCACGACCAACTAGGGCTACAGAGTGAGTTCCAGGACAGCCTCCAAAGCCACAGAGAAACCCGTATTGAAAAACCAACCAAATAAACACCTGGCTCCGGGACAAAATCCTCAGCCCCAGCGCAGACTCCACCCCTGCGCGGCAGTCCGAGCAACTCTCCTTTCTAGCGCTTACGTTGTGGCACGTGATTGGCTGGGCATCTGTGCCTACATGCGATTGGACACTGCCGACCTGGCACCGCCCCCTCCCCGCCTCAGGCCCGCGGCGGCCCGGTGTCCTCGCGCCGCCGGTCCTCGAGCTTCCTGGCCGTTTGCCTCTTCCTCCTTCGTCCTCCAGCTCGGGTCCATGGCCACCGCCGCGACTGAGGAGCCCTTCCCTTTCCACGGTCTTCTGCCGAAAAAAGAGACCGGGGCCGCTTCCTTCCTGTGCCGCTACCCGGAGTATGACGGGCGCGGGGTCCTCGTCGCCGTCCTGGACACCGGGGTCGATCCCGGGGCTCCGAGGGCCGTGACCGGGAGGCCCGAGCTGAGACCAAGCAGGGGACGGCCCGAACCCCGTTCCCGCTCCGGTCCACACAAAAGCGGCGTGGTCGGCGTGGCTGCCCCGGATCGGGGCCGCGGGGAAGCCCTGCTGGTCATCCGGGCCCCACATCTCAGGGTCTTCGCCGGATCTCTCCCGGCGAGGATTTTACAGTTTTTAGCCCTGGGGCGCGGGGGGGGGGGGTGACACCGATGGGGCAGCAGCCACCTGTAGGGATGTTGTGTAGTTATTGGTTTTGGCAGGACCAGCAAAGCGGGGTTCCCAGAAGACAACGCGGTCCGCTCTTGGAATGGTTTCTTCTGATATTTTTGTAGTTTTAAGTTATCTGCTGTTTGTTTAGTATCCTAGAATTCTCTCGGGTTATTCATAAGGCACAACCAATTAGTTAGAGATGAACTTCTCAGACCTTATGAAAATACGCTTTTTAAATGCCTCAAAACATAAGAGAACATACTTTAGCTATGTTTTCCCCACATGACTTCATTTTTCCTTCATGTGAGTTAGCAGTCTTTAGCTAACTGAAAAGTGATGTTAGGAGAAAAAGGCCTTCGAGTAAAATTAATTTCATTTTTAAACTAAACTAGCCCCTTACTAAAACCTACTGATAAATGCGACCCACCCATTGTTGAAGAACTTCCCCAACTAACTTTTTATGTCCTCTTTGGTCCTGTGTCTGTGTATCAGAGAGATGCATTAGATTACATAGATAATATATTAAACCTGTCCCCACAAAAGAGGATGCTTAATCATTTCTTTATTCCTAGTCCTTGGGTTTCCTCCTGTCTTTAGTCCTTTCATTGTGCTGCCTGATAGTTGGGATAAATGACTGATAGTAAGATAATTGGAATTAGGAATTAGTCAAGGGATAGGAAGGAAGCCTGTGACCACTCTATGGATCTCCTTGGGAGTCCTGATTCTGAGGGTTTGTTGCTTCTTTTCTTCTCTGGAGCACATATATGGTGTTCTGTCTGGGGGAGCCTCTGATTACAAGTTCAAGTAAGGAGTTCCCTCCTTGTGACTACGATTGTTATTTTATTAATAATGTGCATCCACCGTTCAACACATAAAAGTATTTTTAATGTGCTCATTCACTAAAATATTAATAATCATATATACATATAATTAGTAGAATATTAGACTTAGTAACTGTCTTTTACTTAGATTTAGTTTCTGCAAGCTTAACTTTGTGTTCTGGTATTTTGTGACACATTCTTAATCTCTCACTGTCTTGCATTATTATCTCTACTCATCTGTTACCTCATCTGATGATAAGCTTTCTAAAAGCGGGGATCCTTGAAATTGATCATGCTTGTGGAATAGAAGTTACTGAGTAGTAATCACATACTTAAATGTACATTTTCAGTATTTCCCTTGGAATTTCTAGTAAATACATTTTTCTTTGTTTAGTGAACCATTGTTTTTGATGGCTAGCAAACTACCCCTCTTGTACAAATGCTTAATGAATGGATTCTACCTATACCAGTTCCTGCTCCATAAGAGATACAGTGGAGAAATAAGTAACTTGTATTCCTGACACTTAGGGGAAACTGTAGGCAGTATCTCTTTGTTTAGCTAGCATATCCCTGGATATATCATTTTCCTGTCTCAAGCTTATTACCGTGGCTTTCCCCATAATTCCATTTCCCAGGCCCGCCAGCCCTCACCCATGCACCTCTCTTCCCCACAGATGGACAGCATGCTTCCACTATTACCAGTTGAATTTCCTTCTCATCCCAAACCTCTACTGCACCATTCTCATATGGTTTTGTCTTTTTTTCCAGCCCTAAATTCTGTTGTCTTTTAGAGAGACTTTGAGCACTTCTAAGTAAAACTTAGAGAAATAATACATGGTAAATAAACCACTAGATCCCATTTGGCTTTTGCTCTTAGTTTTTCAAGGCAACATGACAAAGTTTGATGTGTGATCCACCAGCTGTACCTTCTGAGTCCTATCAAGAAAAAGATGTGTCTTTTTCCTCTAAGAGTCTCTTCTTCCTTAAATATATGTTAAATACAAAACTTTGCAGAGTAAATACTTTGTGTTAGGGAAAAGATTCATGATGGTCAAAAAAATTCAGTAATAATGGCCATTAACCCTGGTCTTGAAGATTTATGAATTTTCAAGGTGGAAGAAAAGTCTGAAGACTTTGAACATGTTTCATTCTTGACATTTGTTATTTTCTTCTTTCTCTCTTTGAAAACTTTGTGTTTCCATGCCCAATTCCTGTTGGTGTGTGTATATATAAATATATGTATATGTGCGTGTATATACACATAAATACATTTTTAATTAGTGTATATTTTCATTGTACAAACTGATGGGTTTCCTTTTGGCACTTTTAGACCTGTATATCTCAAAAGACAATAAAGAGTGAGAAAATGAATTAGACCGCTCTCAAAAGAAGGAGACAGGGCTTGTGAGGTGGCTCATGGGTAAAGGTGCCTACTGCCAATCCTTGCAACTTAAGTTGAATTGCCATTACCTCACATGGTGGAAAGAGAGAACCAACTCCTGCAAGTTGTCCCCGATTTCTTCTCACACTCTGTGGCATGCTTACACACAGATGTACTCACAAAATAAATACTTTATTTTTTTGGTTTTTCGATGTAGGGTTTCTCTAGTGTTTTGGAGCCTGTCCTGGAACTTACTCTGTAGACCAGGCTGGCCTCGAACTCACAGAGATCCACCTGCCTCTGCCTCCCAAGTTCTGGGATTAAAGGCGTGTGCCACCAACTCCCGGCAATAAATACATTTTAATTTTAAAAATCTACAACTGGAAAGATGAGTCAGTGGTTAAACTGCTCCTGCAGAGAACTTGAGTTCATTTCCCACCCACATGGCAGCTGAGGATCCATCATCGTCCTTGGCCTCTGAGTGCACCAGGCACAGGTGGTACGTACGTACATACATACATACATACATACATACATACATACACACACACACACAAACACACGTTCTATATTTTTCTTCTGTGTTCCTATAAGGTTTTTTTTTCTTTATTTTTAAGTTTAAATTTATATTAGAAACAAGGTTGCTTCACAAGTCAGTTCCAGGTCCCTCTCCCTTTCCCTCCCCTCCTCCCGTGCCCTCTCCCCAGCCCCCCCATTATCCACTCATTTCCCCAGGGAGGTGTCATTTCATCCAGGGCAGGGCCTAGACCCTCCCCCAAGAGTTCAGGGTGAGAGTGCACCTCACATTGTTGGATGGGAGTCCAAAGTCTGTGTGTATACTCGGGATGAGTACTGATCTACTGCCCAAGGCTCAATAGATTACCTAGGCCTCCTCACTGACACCCACGTTCAGGGGGTCTTGATCAGTCCCATGCTGGATTCCCAGGCTGATGCCTGGGATTCAAGAGTTAACCCTTGTCAGGTCAGCTGTTTCTGGGGGTTAAACCAGCCCAGTCTTAATCCCTTTGGTCATCAGTCCTCCCTCTCTGTTACTGGCTTTCTTGAGTTCAGCTCAGTACTTAACCGAGGGAGTCTGCCTCTTCTTCCATCAGCCACTAAATGAAGTTTCTGTTTCCCAGACTCTCTGGCCATGGGATTGTAGGCTGGCACTCCCCAGATCTATGTCTAAAATCCATATATGAGAGAGTACATGCCATGTTTCTCTTTTTGTGACTGTGTTACCTCACTCAGGATGGTTTCCTATAAGGTTTTTAATGTCATCTTTTAAATAACTGTTTCTTGATTAAGTTCTTGGAAGTATAGCTATCACTTTTTTGTATTGAATAAGCAATAACCTTAGGGAGTTCCTCCTGCTTACTCAAGATGACTGTGAGGGAGTCCAGGGAAGACAGGAGAAACTGATTTCTGTAACAGAGATATTTAGGTTTTCTGTGGAGGCTTTTTTCCCCAGTAAACTCAGGCATAATCAGGACTAATAAAGTAAAACTAGGGGTTACCATAAGATTAAGCACAGCAAAAATTAGAGAAACCTAAAAGCCCATGAGATCCCTAAGATTAGCACAAGAGTTTGCTGTATTGTATCCATCGGTCCTTGCCACTTGGATGGGATTCTCCAAAGGACCTTGCCATCTAAGGAGCTCCATTTGCAAAACTTTTATGCACTGTTTCCAGGGCTGACAGCATGGCTTCCACTAGATAGAGTTTACTCAAGGCAAAACAAATGTGCATACTCAATGAAATCAACTTGTTTAACACAATCCAATTTAAAGATAAACTAATGTGATATTTATATGCTGAGGAGTAGTGGGGGGGGCTAATGAAAGATTTGACTTCTGGAATTAAACCATTTGGTTTCTATAAGAGTAGAAAATTACATGCCCTAAAAAAACTGCAGTCCATAGAATACAAAAGGATCAAGTCAGCCTGGGGTGTTTCAAACAATGTTCAATTTTGTAGTATGATTGCATACACAGTATAAAGTATGCATGCTGAATGTTTAAAACAAAGGCTGCATTGTTTATACAGTGTAGCTGGCATAAGTACTGCCACAAACTCTTTGGATTCATTACACATTTAGTTTCAAATTAAGTTTTGGCTGTGGCATATTCAGTAACCTTTTACTGTTGCCAGGTTTGTTTTTTTGTGACAACCTTAAAGGACCCGCATAAGGAGTGAGTTTCAAATCAGTTTAAGAAGCTGATACCTACATCATGAAAGGAAGAGATACTGGTGGTTTGGCAACCTGGCACAATGCTGATGAAATTATAAAAATTGATTTGAATTCCATTAGAGGAAGTACTTTCTAATACCTGTGGTACAAGGTATAAATTCTGTTGCTGGTTTGAGCAATCGGTGTATGATATCTAAAAAGACAACATTTGGAGAAAAACAAGTTTGGGAGTATGTTACCTTTACTAATTTGAAGTACTGGTGTGACAGTCACTAATAAAATACTACTGTTTTCTATCCAGCCCAAAGCTCACTTTCTTCAGATATTTGCTCAAATGTTGCCTTCCTTGCCCAACCAAGTTAAAATAGAAAATCTGTATTTCTTATTTCCTCCCTTCTACTTAATTTCTCAGTATTGTACATGTTTGTTTATTGTCTACTTCCTCACTCTGCTATTTGTAAGACAGGATTTTTGTGTACTGACAACTGCTATATCTAACACCCAGAAAGTTGTAAATGTTAAATACATGAAAGCACTTGAAGGGTTGTATATTGTTTCCATGACTAATTTTTTTCATTAATGCTTGTTAGACTTTTGTCTTAATTCAATTATATTTTAATACAAATGAAAAATTTCATAGGCATATATATATGTATGTATGTATGTATGTATGTATTGACCTCTCTCCTTCCCTCCCTCCCTTCCTTCTTTTCTTTCCCTTGGTTTTTCGAGACAGGGTTTCTCTGTATAGTTTTGGAGGCTGTCCTGGAACTCGCTCTGTAGATCAGGCTGGCCTTGAACTCACAGAGATCCACCTGCCTCTGCCTCCCAAGTGCTGGGATTAAAGGTGTGCGCCACCAACGCCTGGCATAAATTGAGTTCTTAACTGGTCTGAATAATGAAAACCTGGAGTCAGATATAGAGGAAAATTCTGAGAGATCACAGAGAAGGAGCAAGCCAAGCCACACCTTACCTCCTTAGCATCTCAGCAGACAAGGGAGTGAGCTCCTGTTTCTTCCCACTTAAATCATCTCTCCTCCCAACCATCTCACTTCCTGTCTCTCTGTACAGACCTCCCCACCTCTATGGTTGGCTAGTGGTTAGCTCTATTCTCTGATATTCAGACAGGATTTATTTGAACAAGATATCACCACAGGAAAGGCCTTAACGTACATAACAAATTTACAAGAGGCATATGACTCAAGAAGGGAAGTAATAAGTTCCTTAGTTCTACTGCCTTTATCTTCTGCATATAATCAGAATTTGACCTTCATTGTGGTTTGCTCAACACAAAGATGTGAGATCAGGACACCCAATGATCCTAGCTCCAGCATCGTTATATTTCCCATAAGTTAATGCATTACTAGTACTAATGGCTTTTAAACAGTAGTTCCCTAGCAATTTGTGATCTGTGTCTCAGTAACCCAGGGTGCAGTCATTTCTAATCCAAATCTTGTAAAGGAATCAGATTTGAGAACCAACTAATTATGTCATTATCCCGCCAGGCTACGGCTACATCTGTGGTACATCACTCGGCCTTCTCCAAGTTACTCTCTACTTAGTGTGCATTTCCATCTCCCTACTTTTCTATTGCCTGTTACTGTCTTTTGCTAACTTTGAGAAGGTGGATCTTAAGTTTTTAGCTCTCACCACTAAGAAAGTACCTCCTACAAAGGAAAAGTCCCGATGAGTGTGTGATAAAGTGGAATCCAGGCAGGTCTACAGGAGTGGGTGTTTATAGTCCCAACTACTATGAAGGCTGAAGAAAGAATTGCTTACATCCAGGAGCTAAGGGCCAGCTTGGTCAATACAGCAAGAACCTGAATCATACATATATGTATAATATTTCATACACATGCACACACATCTTAGTGGAAACACGCTTAAGGAATAAGTATTGTAACACTGTTAAATTCATCTGAAGGTGACAAATAAGTTTGTATTTTGGCATTTAAGCAAAAAGGTTCCAGAGTTGCCCTAGCCCTTGAATGTAGTCTACTGGTCTGTGATAAGATTTACTTTTTTTTAAACTCTGACATTCACTAACTGCAAAGCATAGATGTGTATGCCAACCATTCCCAACCTTGCATTGTAAAGTCTTGGCTTGCTACAGATTTAAAGCTTAGGTAGGGAGAAGAAAGATTTGGGATACATCCATTCAAATTTATTAGGTTCACAAACCAAGCCAATAAAAACAAAACAAGATGCATGAATTATTACATGCTACGCAGGCGAGTACATAGTAATCTGGGACTTTTAGAATGCAGCACACGTTTTAAACTTATTTTGACTGACTGTGATAGCAGAATGAGCCAGTCACGGGTGTGTCACTTGGAATGGAAAAGTGGGAGCGAAGGTTTAGACTGCACAGACAGAAACATTTCCATTCTCTGGGAACCCAGTGCTATTTTTGCTGGTGTTCTGATTTCTGATGAAAATACTCAGGTTTCTCAGATCTACCTGTAAGTCTGATGACATTTTCCCTAAAATAGGGTGAGGATGTATGCACCCTATCCTTTTCCTCATGGTGGCAGCAAAGCTAACCGAAGGCAGGATCCTTCCCTAAAACAGCGCAGTGCAGTCAGAACTGAATTCCTGTCAGTGTGACCCGATAGACGTCGTGGTGCTCACAAACCTGAGAGGAACGCCGGAGGGCAAGCCGGAAGATTCGCGATGTCCTTAGGCCTTTCTTTACCAAGCAGCTCTGGAGCCACGGGAAGGCCCGCGGACCCAAGAACTGCGGCGCTGCCCGGTGACGTCACTGCCAGGCGCCGGAGCTCCGAGCGGATCGCCGCAGGTTTCCTAGATGGTTGACAACGCCGAGATCTCGGCTCTCAGGCATTTGAAAGCAGGTCTAGTCGGAGCTCCTCTCCTGCGCCCTGCCGACAGGGACTCCGTCGCTTCCGAACCAGCTGCTTCCAGCTGTGTTGCCCAAACTGAGGAAATCGAATTCGTCTGGAGTGGCTTTGGGAGCTCACGACTCGAGTCCCTGCAGGTCCGCTTTCCCTGTTGAGATGTCCGCTTTTGCTTCTAACCCAAGTTTTGCTCATTACACACATGCTTTGCATTATAAAAACGTTAGGGCGTTATATTTAGTGGTGGATTGCTGTCTTTGGGGTTCAGTGGGAGATGGATGTAGAAAGAAGCTTGGGTTGATAAACCAATTACAAAAAAAAAATGTGATTCCCAACATTGGATAAAAGTGTCTGCGGTTGTTTTAGCTGAGACGTGTTTCTTTTAGAAATGAGCGTTATGGGAGGACTTGTTCCCAAACTACAAATTTAAATCTTGAATGCTGGGCGTATATTTTAATTAACTGAACTATGTACTGTACACTCTGTTTTGGAGAGGAAGCCCAGGAAATGGGGGACGTTATTTTTATCAGTTCTATTTGCCGTTAATTTTTAAAATTTTAACTTCATTTTAAATAGGATTGTTCAGATAACCATTGCATTGTAACATTAGCTGTTGTATAAAGTTCAAGTTGAGCATTGTTTACCCAAAACGCTGAACCAAAAGTGTTCCAAATTTCAATATTTTTAATTTTGGGATGTGTCATATACCCATGGCTAAACGTGTAATGAGACCCAAGGCTAAACGTGAAATTCATGTTTTATTTGCATCCTGTAAATATAGCTATAATATTTTTAGTGTTCCTTATGTTTCCATTAGCAAGTCAGGTGAATAGAATGGTTTGGATTTTCACCTTAGGGATGCTCAACTTGGAATATTAGTGATTTTTGTATGTTTCTCACTTTAGTTAAATCTAGTTTTATATCCAGTGGCTTATAGAGCCTTTATAAGATTTTGATAACTTTTACTAACTTTTTTATAGTTTTGTAAGACTGCATACTTAAAAGTGAATAGTCGTTGTTTTAAATAAATGAAATTAATTGCAAATGACAGTTCCAAATAATATTTCTGCAATTCTTTTCTAGGAATTATTTGTAGAGTAGTAAGTATGCTAATACTAAGTAAGACAGCAGGAGTTTTTTCCAGATCACCAAAGAGGAACGTTTATGGATTTTTAAGAAGTTTTAGTGTTTGCCCTGGAACACTTTTTCCTCATAAACTGGTCCTGGGAATTGAAACCAGCTGTGATGACACAGCAGCTGCTGTGGTGGATGAAGCTGGACATGTGTTGGGAGAAGCAATGCATTCCCAGACCGAAGTTCATTTAAAGTAAGTAGAAACTATTTTGGTCATTCCTGGTTTTCTGGTCTTTTGTTTGTTTTGTTTTATTTATTTTTTTTTTTGGAAAAAAAACTGAAACCATTCTTTTGCATTTATCATGTATCAAAGTCCAATTTTAGTAGTTAAATTCTTACTCTAGCCAGGCGTTGTTGGCGCACGCCTTCAATCCCAGCACTTGGGAGGCAGAGGCAGGCGGATCTCTGTGAGTTCGAGATCAGCCTGGTCTACAGAGTGAGTTCCAGGACAGTCTCCAAAACAATACAGAGAAACCCTGTCTCGAATAAAACAAAACAAAACAAAAAACCCAAAAAAACAAAAAACTTTATTGTGTAAAACCATTCAATACCATTCTATATATCCATGCCTTATAGACCTTTAATACCAACACTTCTGCAGCAGAGGCAGGTGGATGTGAGTTCCAGGCCAGCCAGTACCTCCTCCTGGCTTTTAAGTCCCTCCATAGTCTGAGGTAGGGTCTCAACTTTTGCAAGTCCTGATGACAAAAAGAAACAAGGTCATTCCCAACACTTACTTTCAATGATTTTTCTCTCAGTGTGGCTTTTTTTTTTCTGCATGTATGTTTTGTGTTCTCAACAGTAGCCCCAGGAAATCATCACCTGATGGTTGGGAGTTAAAAAAAAATGTTCACACTTACACATGTAATTCTCATCAGTCCTTAGAATATTGTGTGAAAGCTTAGGCTTATAAACTCAGCTGTTTGCAGTAGGCCCACAGGACTAACAGGACTAGAGATAAAGTACAGACTATACCCAGCTTTAACCAATTGTCACTCAAGACTTTAAGATTGAAGTATCAGATTTTTCAAAAGAAAGTGAAAGTCCACATTTTAAATGAGCTCTCTAGATTTCTTAGAAAATTATTGGCTAATTCAATACACATTGGAATGCACCTGTAAGTTATCAGTGTCCAGGGTTTGAAGAATGAAAAACATCTGATCTGACTTAGTTGTTTCTCATTAATATTAGGCAAGTTCTTTATCACTCTTTTTCATATCAATAAACAAAAATAGCAGCGTCCTTAGTGAACTGGGAATAATTTCTGGAGAAAATAAAGCCTCAAACACACAAGACAGGAAATGAACTGGAAGGCCCATCATCTTATGATGCACACAGACCTACAGAGATCGACCAGTGTGTGGCAGCACAGAGTTATATCAACCAATAATTATCACGTGGTGCACATTTTGATTTCTTTTTTCCTTACTGTACTGAACTTTCTAATGTTACCTTCACTGAAAAGCCTACTCCAAGTGTGCCATCTAAATTAGGGTTACTGTGTATCATTGTACTCTGCAAATGTTCTTCCTAACCCTTTTTACAATTTATACATTTGTTTGCTTATTCATAACCTTTCCTCCAATCAACCCTATGCTCTGGTAATGAAGTCTGTCTAGATTGGCCACTGTGATACTCCTAGTGCCCTGCCAGCATGCACAATGACTCCTCACAGGTCCTTGGTAGTGATGGAAAGAATATTGCTGTCCAAGTGAACGTTACCAACAAAGGCAAAAAGACAAGAGCATTCTCAAGGATGTTCTGTGATACCATCCATACAGCTCAACTTAGCATGAAGAAAACCTATCATTGCCAGGCAATACCTGGGACGCTGTGAGTCCTAATATGAATATGCTATATGATCTTTGCTTGAATAATCTTTGCTCCCAGTGTTGGGGCCAGGATTGGGTATTTCCAGGTTCTTGGCCTCTTGTCCAGAGAATGGAAAAGGGATCACACAGATTCACAAAAGAGTCAGAGTGACGGTGCTGTCAAGATTGGCAGCAGGCCACATGATTAAGAGTACTCAAGTCCTGACTCTTGTTCAAGACTACTTTCATGCACATCAAAGTAGGGATTGTTTACTCAGGGACAGAATTTGGGTGCTTCTTTATCTCATTTGAAAGATTAGATCATATTCTCGTTTTTTTCCTATTGTGTATGTCACCTTCCTTATGCATCTGTTTTAATCACATGCACATCCAATTATGCATAGGCATAGACAATAAATAGAAGAGTCTGCCTAAAAGGTTATTAGAGGACACAGTTTTGCCTTACTGCACATGCATCCAAACTAGTTCAGGCTGGGCCAGTCTTTCTATTCTTATTATTCTGGGATGTTGGAAACACATTTGAATGAAAACTGCCTAAATTTGATTGTTACAGGGCCAGGGAAATGTCTACTATTGTTCAGAGACAGGAGTACCTATAGCCCCATGCAGGTTGGGGAGGGAGAGGTTGCTAAATGCATCATTTGTAGAGGGGTGTGTGTACATAGTGGGTACAGATAAAGTAACTAGGCTGCCAAATGCATATTACAAGGAGGGTGTGTGCAGAATCTAAAACCAAGTGGATACCCCAAGGTACTAAACTGTCTGTTATGCTTGCCTGCCTCGAGGTGAAGCATAGTTTTTATATTCTGGTTTAGCACTGTGCATATTTTCATCCATCTTGTCTATAAAATCTATAATGATGGCATTGCATTAAATATAAATAAATGTGAATTCTTTTAGAGCAGCTGCTGCAGTTTTTGAGAAGTATGAAAGGTTCAGTAAAATCTAGTCATTTCTAACAGCACCTCTGTTACTCTCAGGACAGATAGTGAACAGGTCTGCAAAGTCACGTGGGAAGTGTGCTAATAAAAGCACTGCTTGCTAGCATTTGCCCTTCCTCCAGGCCTCCTTCACTTCCTCCCCCTTTCACACCCAAGTCAGTCATCCAGGGTAGTAAACATTGCCCTCAAATACACCTGAGGTAGCTCTTTCTGTTCTCCTAACTTAACATAAACCTCTATTGTCCCTTGCCTAGACTCCAAATATAAGTGCTTTCCTTATTTCTGTCACCTTCCTTCATTAGTCATTTGCATTCTCTATACAAACTAAAATATGACTAGAAAATGTGTTGTCGTTGATTAACTGAGAATAAGGCCATAGTTTTACTCATTATTTGTCTTGTTCAGCATAATTTCTAAAAAATAAAATATCAAAGAAGGCTCAGAATGGATGTAAAGACACAGGGAAAATGTGAGTAGGAGGAAAGGACTTGAATTCAAACTCTCAAATTCCAATCAGGGAAATATTTTGAGTTGGAAAATAACAGTCAGCAGCAGATTGCTTCCTGGTGGTTTTTGGCATCACAATCAGTAGTGGTCTCCAAGAATCAGAAGACTGAACTAGGAAAGTAGAGAGGCTTGGAATTTGATGGTGTTAGTGTCAGGACAAAGGTCAAAATGAGTGTTGACGGTAGTGAGACAGTTGGTTAGGAGAGGCCCTGCAAACCTGAGTTCAGTCCCTCACTGACTGCTGCATGTTGTCTTCCGACCTCCTCCACGTGTACTAAATAAAAAAAAATGTAAGCTAAATATTAGACATTTTACAAATGAGCCTTGAAACTCAAATGATTCTAAGAGTACTGTTGCAACTAATAGAGAATAGGAATATCAAATAAATAAGTTTAAAACATTTTATTACAAAATGTACCTGTTGATTTCCTTACATCTTCATTCCCTTAAGATATATTTTATATATAAATTATATAGATAGTATAAATATTCATTGAATATTTGTGAATATTTCATTTCTGTATATAGAAACCATCCCACATGGTCTTGCAATGTTAAGTATTTTAAAATGATGTTGTGAGACCAGAGGTGAGTTTTACAGACCTGAGAAATTGCTTCCCAGACTACAGACCTGTTACAGGTTACTGTGTCTGCTGCTAGCCACGTTCAGTCCATTGTTTTTCCCCCCGCTGGAGACTGAATGTGAGTATATTAGACAGCTGCTTTAACCTGGAGCTGCATTCCACATTCTTAACTCAGTGTTTGGAGTGATCCTCCACTGTCCCACACAGACCGGAGATCTCCACTGCTAGATTCCCAAACTTTATTTTAGGGCTGCAAGCTATCTCCTGACCTGGTCTGACCTCAAGTGCAGTGTGTTTAAAAATAAACTCACCTTCACAAAACTGTCTTCATATTTCTCACTGTTCATATTTTTTCTCCCAGTCATTCCTAGCAAATAGGAGTCATCTTTGATACCTAGGTTCTTGTACCCAGTTTAATATGTTACTTTAGACAAGTAACTCTTGCATTGATTTTTTTAAACTTCTCTCCTTGAGATTAATTAGAGCTAAATAAGATTTTAGACTGCTGTAGTGACCTCATTTATCAGAAATAAACCATAGGGGTTTTGAACACAACGTGAAAAGTCAGCCACAGTATTGAACTCTTCTCAGTCTTGCATTATAAAACACACAGTGTTAACATACCAATACACTAGTTCATTTGCAAGGATGCCTTCAGGCATAGCATGCTTTCCTTCTTTCCTAATTTTTTGAAGACTGTCTTTTTGTTTTGTTTTCAGAACAGGTGGGATTGTTCCTCCAGTAGCTCAACAGCTTCACAGAGAAAATATCCAACGAATAGTAGAAGAAACGCTCTCTGCCAGCAGCATCTCTCTATGTGACCTCTCAGCGATTGCAACTACCATCAAACCAGGACTGGCTCTAAGTTTGGGCGTAGGCTTGTCATTTAGCTTACAGCTAGTAAATCAGTTTAAAAAGCCGTTCATTCCTATTCATCATATGGAGGCACATGCTCTTACTATTAGGCTGACCAATAAAGTAGAGTTTCCTTTTTTGGTTCTTTTGATTTCTGGAGGTCACTGTCTGTTGGCATTAGTCCGAGGTGTTTCAGATTTTCTGCTTCTTGGGAAGTCTTTGGACATAGCGCCAGGTGACATGCTCGACAAGGTACTGTCTCAAAAGTCACTTCCGTTGGTTCTTTCAGTTAAATAGCAGTATACTAACTGCTCATCTAGGTAATCCTGAGCAATGCCTTATTAGACTGAAAAACTATTTTAAAACTGCTGCAAAAAGCTAGCTGAGGGTAGCAGGATAGATAAAAATCAGGGCCAACCTTGCCTATATAATGAGTTTGAGGCAATTCTGGGCCATGCAGCAAGGTTGTGGCCTGAGTTGGTGGTGCACACTTTTAAACCTAGCACTTGGGAGGCATGTGAATCTCTGTGAGTTCAAGGCTAGCCCAGTTTACATAATGAGCTCCAGGACAGCCAAGACTACATAGAGAAGAAAAAAAAAAAAAAAAAAAGAAAAACAAAAACGAAGAGTTGTAATAGCTTTTTATTTTTCCTTTAGATAGAGTTTCATTCTGTAACCTATGCTGGAGTCAAAACTAATACTGATCCTCCTGCTTCAGCTTTGCATGTGTTGGGATTAGAGGTGTAGGTTACCCTATCCATCTCAATTTTGTAACGTTTAGCCATTTAATAAAATGGTAAGAATCTGTATGTAAAAGCTCAAATACTTTTCAGGTATTGCTGTATATTTAGTCAAATATTCCTGTGAACTTGTTTGGGAAACTGTAGCACTGTGCCATGCTGAAAAAGTGTAATGATATACAGAAATTAGGAGCAGGGCATTGTGGCATATACCTTTAATCCCAGCCCTTGGAAGGTAGAGGCAGGTGGACCACTGAGTTCAAGGTCTGCTTGGTCTACATAGTGAGTTCCAGGCCAACTGGGGCTATCTAGTGAGATCCTGTGAGGGAAAAGTAAAAATTAACAAGGAATTCAGAATCCACTGCATAATTGCTAACATCACAGCAGATTTTCTTTTAGTAGTTTGGAGCCTACTCCCATATACAAAACAGCTGAAATGATAGAGGGAAAGAATGAGTCAGATTCATATTTTCAAAGTTCATTAAATAACCATCCCTAACTAGTTTTCCAACTCCAGGGTAAGAGAGAGGAACCAGGGAGGCAGTGCTTGGACGCTGCAGGTCAGGTTATTCAAGTCAAGACTCGCCAGACTTCCTGACGCTAACCAAAGTCTTTGTAGTCATTCAGGGTTTTTTAAATAATTTTTTAATTCATTATCTATGTCTTAAGATTTCAAAATGTATAGCCTATTGCTCACTTAAGAATATATTTTTAATGTCACTTATTACATGTATGTCTCACATATTTTGAACCATCTCTTTATCCCTGGAGAAAGCTAACTTGGCCATAGTGGATAATCTTTTTCTTAGTTAATTTTTGATCAAAACATATTGTATGAAAAACATTTTGAATATTTGTTTTTAATAGGTGGCAAGAAGACTTTCTTTAATCAAACATCCAGAGTGTTCTACGATGAGTGGTGGGAAGGCTATAGAACATTTGGCCAAACAAGGAAATAGATTCCATTTCACTATCAATCCTCCCATGCAGAATGCTAAGAATTGCGATTTTTCTTTTACGGGACTTCAGCATGTTACCGACAAGCTAATAAAGCACAAGGAGAAAGAAGAAGGTGTTGAGCAGGGGCAAATCCTGTCTTCAGCTGCAGACATTGCTGCGGCCGTGCAGCATACAACAGCGTGCCACCTTGCGAAAAGAACACATCGTGCTATCCTGTTCTGCAAGCAGAAAAAATTGTTACCTCCAACTAACGCAGTATTAGTAAGCTTTGTCATCTCACCTGCTAGTAATGGTACACTTTCCAGTGTGTTATCTACCCCTCAGCAATCTAGTTGATTTTGTATTTAGGATGAGTAGGTCCTTGTGTCTCGTGCTGGACAACGTAGAGTAATACAGAATAAAAGTGATGTATAGCCATTATCAAGGTAGACATAACATCTTTATGGAGCATATGCATAGCCTGTGTAGAAAAAGAAAATCCCTGGCTACATTTTCTCTCTGAACTTTAAGAGAGTTTACAATAGAGAAACCATAACAACATTGTGGTTACTGTTTTTAGAAAAGTAGGCTGCTATCCTCCATCTTTTAATGAAATCCCTTTAAATGTGTTTACAAGACTTGATAATCTTCCTATTTAATAGGTCTTAAATCTTTGAAAATTATAAACTTAAGGAAATGTCTAAATTTGGCAACTTGTAAGATGGAATATTAAAAATGAGTATTAGAAATAATGGTTTCTTAAGAGCTGGGTGGCTCAGTGACAAAAAAAAAACAAAAGTATAAGATGCTCTCTAAAATATTGGTGTATTGTGATTGCGAATGTTGCAGAGACAATTTTCTTGTACTAAGAAAATATTTAAAATGATAGCAATGAATACATGCTGACTTAAAATTGTGATTAGTATCTCTAAGTTTTTATTATGCAAATATATCACTCATTACTTAACCCCAAATAGTTTTTTCCTTCCTTCCTTCCTTCCTTCCTTCCTTCCTTCCTTCCTTCCTTCCTTTCTTCCTTCCTTCCTTCCTTCCTTCCTTCCTTCCTTCCTTTTTGGTTTTACGAGACAGGGTTTCTCTGTATTCTTTTGGAGCCTGTCAGACCAGCCTGGCCTCGAACTCACAGAGATCTGCCTGCCTCTGTCTCTGCCTCCTGAGTGCGCCATTACTGCCCAGCAGTTTCTTTTTTTAATTTTAACTTATTTATATTTTATGTATGAGTGCTCTACATGTATGCCTGTATGCCCGAAGAAGGCATCAGATCCTATTTTAGATGGTTGTGAGCCACCATGTGGTTGCTGGGAATTGAACTCAGATTCTCAGGTCCTCTGGAAGAGCAGCCAGTGCTCTTAACCCCTGAGCCATCTTTCCAGCCCCCCCTTTTTTTAAATTTTCCCAAATAGTTTCTTTTTTTTTTTTTTTTTTTTTTTTTTGGTTTTTCGAGACAGGGTTTCTCTGTATTGTTTTGGAGGCTATCGGTCCAGCCCAGCCTCGAACTCACAGAGATCCGCCTGCCTCTGCCTCCCGAGTGCTGGGATTAAAGGCGTGCGCCACCACCGCCCGGCTCCCAAATAGTTTCTTGTTGGATAGTTTACCCCAAGTTTAGTAACAGCTTGGTTCATATCCATACGTGATAACTGTTAATCCTTATCTTCTCAATTCTTTTAGGTTGTATCTGGAGGTGTTGCAAGTAACTTGTATATCCGAAGAGCTCTGGAAATTGTAGCAAATGAAACACAATGCACTTTGTTGTGTCCTCCTCCACGATTGTGCACTGATAATGGCATTATGATTGCATGGTAATCCACAAGATAATATGTTATTTACTTGTAATCATATAGTCATTAACATCTTACCATACTAACTTTTCTTTCTTTAGATCTTGAGGCTGTTGATTTTTGTTTCAATGTTGTTTTTTTTTTTTTAATTACTATTATTCAGGAATGGGATTGAAAGATTACGTGCTGGCTTGGGCATTTTACATGATGTAGAAGGCATCCGATATGAACCAAAGTATGTACTACCATTTATCATGTTTATACAAATTACATTATAAAAGAAAGAAAGCCTGGAGTATGTTTTTATGTATGAAGTTTCGTTGACATTCTGGTTGGTATTTCAAGGAAATTTACTGGTCTTCATGAATATAGTTGAGAAATTGTTGATAAGAAATAATTCTGCTACAGAATCAGATTATAAAATTTGAGCAAGCCATTTATGACCCACGGTGATACATTATCTTATTTCTTACAGAAAAGAACATATTTCAGGACTGGAGAGATGGCTTGGTAGCTAGGAGTGCTTACTGCTCCTACAGAGGACCTGGGTTCTGTTTCCAGTACCCACATGGAGCTAACAGCTACCCTACCTCTAGTTCTAGGGGACCCAACACCCTGACCTCCTGTACTCTTGAGTGCATATGGTATAAATACATGCATGCAGGTACACACCCATACACATAAAATATTTTAATAACAGAAAAGCAGCCGTCTCCAAAGCTGTACTTTTGTGATGTGTAGCCTTATCTAAGGACAGTTAGTGTATTAGAAACTTAAGGGAAACATGAAGATAACATTCAGATATAACTGTGCTCCTACAGTAATAAATCAGAAGGCATCTGTAAGCCCTGTGTCCTCTCTCAAACCATAGTTCGAAGACCAGATTTTTAAATCAGGTTAGCCAAGGAATAATTTAGGACAATTATGTTTTATAACCTGACATAATTATGTTTGAACATTATTTCTTCTGATATTTTGATCTTCTCATCACCAGAGAGTTGTGTTTGTTGTGCAGATTGTTGATGTCGACTGTGGATGGCCAGAGGTTAGGGTAGTGTCAGAAAGAATCAGTGATATCGATGCTCATCAGATGATACTGGCTGGCCCAGTTGTGCTCCCTTGTGGCAGTGTCGAGGCGGGAGAGGATGGCTTTACCCAGCTGGGGTCAGGTCAGAGTCTTTCCTGGACCAGCATCGTAGAAAAGCAGGCATCTGAGCTTTCACTTTACTTACTGAGGAAGAATAGATAAAATGGGTGAAAGGTGAAGAGCTCTTCAGTCTGGAAGAGCAAGGCAAGGACAGATGAACTTGTAAGCTCTGAGAAGTCATGGAAAACTAGGGAACTGCAAACATAAACAAATCAGGCTTGACTTTGTGTTAAAATGCTATTCTTTTTACCTTTGTAAAAGATTATAGACTATGGCACCTTTGGTGTCTTTTATGGTTCATTTTAAGGGTTATTTTTCCATTTGCTTTTTTGTTGTTGGATAGTTTGCGGAATTGAAGGTTTTGTGTGTACCTAACCAGATACTCTACTACTGAACCACTGAACTCTATATCCTCAGCCTTCATTTTGTTTTAAACTTATGAATTTACAGTACTTTGGAGCAGTAGAAATTGCAAATGTAACTCAAAATTAAGGTGTCTTATGAATGAGGTAGTGTCATGTATTGTCCTGGTTTGTATATGAGTCAGCATCACCTATGCCAACTCTCCATTACTTCCACCATTGTCCAGACTCCAAGCCAATAATGTGCAGAAGTTGTGATAGGTTGTGAAGCAAGTATAATGTACTGTGGCCTCTGATCTTTTGCAGATGTCCTCTTGGAGTAGACATATCCAAAGAAGTCGCAGAAGCTGCCATAAAAGTACCACAATTAAAAATACAATTTGATTTGTGATTCTTAAAGGTCTCTACAGGTAATATTTCAAACAATATAATTACATTTTAAGTTTTTGGTATCAAATTATATGAATATGTTCCTTAGGCCTCACAACTTTTATTATGCATGTGTGTATACATATCCCTGGGGCACACGGGTATGCATCTTAGCAAGGAGTCATTCACAATTCAGGGTTACACTCAGGAATCCTGTCAATCTCCTTTGAGACCAGGCTTCTCCTTGGTTTGGATCTTCACCAGTTAGACTAGAGGAGACTGCCCAGAAGCCTCAGCAAGCCTCCATCCCCCCACCCCAGCACTGGCGTTACATATTTACACTGTCATGCTTGCCAGTTCTACGTACTTTCTGGGGATTGAACTTAGGACCATGCTTGCAAGGCAGGTACATTACCTACTGAATTATCGCCCCAGTCCCAAAACTCTTAAAAATTTTTCTTACATCTTTTATTCTGAAAGATAATAACTACATGTTATAGTTTTACAAAAGAGAATGGCTTTTTTTTTTTATTATCAAAACCCAGTGAAATCAAAGGATGAAGGGTTTGCTGATGTTGGCAGGTGGAAAAAATATATCCTTGGGAGAAATACAGTGACTCTTTTGATTCCTGGCCCCATATTATGGATCCTAAATTGTTTCCCCCTTTCTCAGAAGAGTACAAGCTAGTTTTTGACTACTACTACAATAGACTCACTTCTTCAATGAGAGCAGTTTTAAAGTTAAACCAGATCTTAGCTGTATTTAATCACAGACCCCTGGGTTATGACAAAACTTGACCAATAGAATTTGGATTACTAGTTAAGTAAGTTTTTCGGTGCCATACTCAGAAGGTGGCTCTATGCTTTTAATGTTTGTCTAATTGGGCCACATACTTTTACCCATTATTTTAAAAATTGTATTTATTAGATAAAAATAAATAAGAAAAGAAAGGTTTGTTTGGATAATTTTCTCTGGTATTTCTGATACTGTAAATTTGAAATTTTTTCTGTCTGAAGTAACTCCATACTGTTTGGGACTGTAAGTGCATTCCTACTGGGTCTGCGGAAATGACTCAGTGGTTAAGAGAACTTCTTGTTCTTGCAGCTCACAAGTGTGCAAATCTCCAGTTCCAGTGGACCCAGCACCCTTTTCTGAACTCAAGATGTGGCAGCATGCACAGGGCCTGCACAGGTTCAAGCCAGATAGGGACCCAGTGCTGAGAGCAGAAGTGGACATGAACTCACAAGCCTAACCAAGAAGCTGTCTCCAACTGATAATCCGCTTTCAAAGGAAAAATTAATTTTCCCCAGTAGCATCTGAGTGTATTATCCACACTTGAGGATAGGCCCCATGCCTAGCAATAGATGGCAAACACAAAATAAATTCAGTGGTATTTTTGTAGATTTTTTTTTGTCTCATGTTGCTTTCTTTGGGCATTTTTTGTCTGTTTTTACTTTTTTTTGCTTGTATATTGAGGTTCTAGTTTTGTACTTTTATGGGATTTGTATGTGTTTTTTTTTAAAATTCTGGTTTATTTGGAGTTTTTGTTATTTGCCTATCTGTTTTCTAAAGAGAAAAAGAAAGGGTGTGCAGGTGGGTGGGTCAGGAAGATCTGGGAGGCGTAGGGAGAGGGGAAACCATTATTAGACTATTGTATTAAAATTATTTTCAGCAAAGTATTTTTTTTTAAGTTGACAGTGATCAGGAAAAGTACTGTAGTTGTTAGGATGGTAGGATAGTCTGGTTAAGCTGAGTTTCTCAGGAAGTACCTCTGGTTGTATGTAAACCCTCCAGGAGCTCCCTCATGTTCAGAGACTTCATAATAACTTCAGGGGTGACCCTAATGACATCAAGAAAATGACAATATCTTGTCATTTGATTCAGTTCTTTTTTTGTTTATTTTTTGTCTTTTTAAGACAGGGTATCTCTGGGTAGCTTTGGCTGTCCTGAAACTCTGACTTTGTAGACCAGGCTGGCTTTGAACTCACAGAGATCTGCCTGCTTCTGCCTCCCAAGTGCTGGGATCAAAGGTGTGCACCATCACTACCCAGCTGATTCACTTCTTTCTAATATTAAACATACATTTTCCTCTACATCTATATTATTATCCACCAGAAAATCGCAATTCACAGCAGTTGATAAAGCTTAGAATTTAAATGTTTAAGAATACTTTATTTTGCAGTGATTAAGAACGCAGATGGGCTCTATGAAGTGCTTAAGTGTGGGTGGCTAACCACCATCATGACCATTATTATAGTAACCATTTGTTAATATGTATGGCCAGTGCTTATTGCTGCCCAGGTAGATAACAAATTACAAAAAGGCCTTCAGCGTATATGGAGGCAGAGTAAGCAGAACAAAGGGATAGAGAAGTGAAGGAACCAGGTGAAGCCTTGCTTGCATTTATCGTGTCTCTACTGCTGTAAACTAAAAACCAACACCAGAGATTGCACCCATTGATATGCGACTTTTGAGCAGAGGCCTCACCCAGTTCTCAGCCAAAAGAATGTCCTTTCCAGATGCAGAGTATAGACACTTTGTGTTGATAATGGGACAACTCTAGTGGCCACACATTTAATCACAGTCCCTTATGTATCAGATGGGCAGTGACTACAGATGTCACACTGAGTATTTAGACATTATATATTTCAGGCTTCATAAGCCTCACACTTTGTAGTATGTGGACTCTTTAACTCAGCATACCGACTCAAAATGTTTCTGTCTCTTGGGACATATGTAGATACGCATATGTACATATATATGTATATGTTGCGTATGTGTGTATAATCTACTCATGACAGTTGGTAAGTCCTATAAGTATAAGTGCAGCATTGTATACAGAAATTCTACTTATTTTTTTGAAGCAGTAACTCTAACCTGATGTTAAATTCCATGTGAAACACTGGAAAGATCTGTTCAGTATTAACACAAAGAACTTCCATTCAAACAACACAGACTCCATCCCCTGAAAGACCACTCAAGAATCATTTCACGTTCAAATGTTTGTTTGTTTTTAATTATTAGCTTTCTGTGGGCTCTGGGTTGGCTTTCTGCTCAAGTTTCCCAAGCTTGCTCAAGCATACTATTCTTGGTCTTGATACATTTACGATATCTGATGAAATTCCAGATGAAAAAGAGAAAATGTTACGGGAAATATTGGGCTTTTTTGTTGTTCTGAAGAGCCCCATGAAGTTAGTTACAGGAGGTATTAAAGTCAGAGAATCTCTTGGTTGGATTTTAGGTCTTGCTTTTCTTCGGTGTTCTTTCCCTGGAAGTAAGAGACCACAGTTAAATGTCTCTCAAGTCAAAGGCCCTAAGTATAATATAATTCTTTTCTTTGCTTAACTAAAACGTATACCAGTTTTCTGCAGAGAGTCTGAGTAAATGTTCCTTTTCTCTCTTTAAGAAAATTTTACTTTGTGTATGTGTGTGTTCGTGAGCATGCATGTGCACATGGATGTAGGCAATGTGTGTGGGTGCCCACTGAGTCCAGAAGAGGGTGTCACATTCCTCAACAGCTGGAATATGGATGGCTGTTGAGCTGCACATGGATGCTGTGAACTAAACTTGGGTCTTCTGTAGGAGCAGCGTCTGCTCTTACCCACTGGGCCATCCTCCAGTCCTGCATTCCTGTTTATTCCCCTGCTCTCTTTCTGACTGGTTATGTCATAGATGTTTATTGTAGTCATTGGCCCTTTCTAAGCTTTGCTATTTAAGCATGTGCATGAAAGTAAGTTATCTGTGTTTATTCCCTGTTAAATATCTAATGAGGTCTTGGATAAGTGGTTCAGCTGTTAATAGCATGCAGTGCTATTGCAGAGTCCATGCTCTGTCCCTAGCTCACAGTGCACAGGCTCCTGTAACTGCATCTCCACTGGCATGGAGTTCTCTCCTACCATCTAGGTTCTGAGGAGCAAACTCAGGACATTTGGCTAGTTGGTAAGTGTTCTTACCCACTGCTCCATTCTGCCAGAGAAATCTTTGATACATGATAGCAGGGAAGACCTCAAATTTTTAATACAGCTGTCTTCTGTGTGTTGAATTATTAATCAGATGTTTTCTAGAGGGTTGTCTCCATATTTTGAATTTTTTAAAGATAGGATGTATTGGTTGGTATGTTATCTTGACACAAACCTAGACATAACTGAGAAAATGCTTCTATAACATTGACCCGTAGGCAAACCTGTGAGTATTTTCTTCATTTATGTGGGAGGGTTAGCTGATGTTACCCCACCCCGGCTAGGTGGTTGTGGGATATGTAAGAAAGGAAACTTGAATAAGCCAGAAATTGGCTCTTATCTTTGGCCTCTGCATCAGTTTCTGCCTTGAGTTCCTGCCCTGATTTCCCTGGATGACTGGCTGCAAGATGTAAGATGAAATACATCCTTTCATCCTATGTTGCCTTTGGTCATGGTGTTGGTTTTATCACAGTAAACAAAAGCCTAAGGCAGATTTACAGACTGCTAGGGCTAGCAGGCATTACAGAAATAAAAGAAAAAAATTACCTTTTTTAAAGACAGGAATTACAGATGGTCCTCCATTCTTTTCCAGGCTAAAAGGAAAAAAAAACAAATAATTAAATGAAGACACAGTATACTCAGAAAACCATGAATAAAAAAGATTCTAGGTACCATGTTCAGAGGACTAATGATCTTTGTCATACATGCATAAAATTACATGCATGCTACCTTACATTTGATCACTTGTTTACTCATTTCCAACATTAAACACACCTAAAATGGAATGTTAGTTATGTTTCCACTGATGGAAAGAAGGGATTCAAACTGGACTTTGAAGAAAACAAAACTGAATAGGAGCACATTTCCCATCGAGTTGTGGTAATGTACAAAGCACAAATCACTTGTACTAATTAAAGGTATGAAACCAATTTAACAAATTATTAGAATTAAAGTTCAGATTGTGTTTTATAGTTATGTAATTTATTTTGTATTTTTAGTCATCAAGGGATTCTTAAAATAGACTTACATTTTTCTGTATTTAAAATTGACTCATATAGTCATATTCATATGACCATAGTATACTTTTGGGTCTTATTCCCATCTTGTATCAGAATAACTATATATCCTGAGTAGCTCTCACATGAGTGTTTTTCTGCTTGGAAAGACTCATAATTCAGCTTTGTGTATGGAAGCAGAGAATATAGTCCACAATAAGACTTTTCACTCCCTAGTTTAAAGCCTTAGGCTATAATGAAACTATAGTATTGAGGCAAGATCATCTGAGCAAAATGCTTGACAGTCACTAAAACTTCCACCACAGTGTCATTTTAGCCTTGTTTCCCTCCAAGAAGCTTGCTTAGCCTTGGGTCAAAAGTGTAGGAAATCCATTGGCAGTGAAGATTGTTTTGACTTTCCTGATTAGTTCAGATCTCTTCAAATATAATAAAGAATAGATTCCTGAGCTGTGCATAGAATTTATCACCCCCATCCTGCAAACTTCTAAAACTGAAATAATCTTGTCAACCCAGGATGCCTAAAATGTGGTTGTTCTGTCCACAACCACAGTTCTGTTACTAAATTGGGATTAAAACAAGTTTTGAACTGGACACAATAATTATGCATTTCTAGTCCCAGCTACTGAAGAGGCAGAGGAAGGGGGGAAGGTTGGAGCCAGAAAACATAGCAAAGCACTCTATCCAAAGCAAATAGAGAGGGTGGTGCCCTGTAATTGGGAAGGATGACCAACTTGGGAGGGGGTATGTATCCTCACCTTGATTAGGTTAGATTATGTTGACAAATTTTAGTATGTCTATTATCATTGGTAGCCCTCTGACCCCAATTTTTCTCTCAGCTGAAGGTGCAGAGTATTGAAGTACTAGCCAATAAAAATCAGTGATGACAACAGGCCTATGGGACCCTGACAGAGAAAACAGTAAGTCTGGCTACATTAGACTCTCTGCTCATCACTCCTCCATCTCTGTCACTAGGTTCCAGGAGTTCAGTTCAGTGTTTAGCTGTGAGTATCTGTCTCTGCTTCCATCAGTCCCTGGATGAAGGTTCTAGGATGGCCTAAAGGGTAGTCATCAACCTTATCATCATGGAGGGGCTATTAGTGGTCTCTCCATTATTGCTTAGTTTGTCAGTTGGTGTTATCCTTGTAGATCTCTGGCGATCTCACTAGTGTCAGCTCTCTCCTCAAGCCTATAATGACTCGATCTATTATGGTATCTTTCATCCTGCTCTCATCTATTCTTACCTCCACTAAACCTTCCTGCTCCCCCATACCTTCTTCTCCCCTCCTCTAGAACCTCCTGTTTTGTAGCATACTTTTCAGACATAATTATAACAAATCAGATCTTTCCTGGGCCTAGATGTGCTTACACACAGAAGAATAACTCAACCAACTTGTACATAGGCTGTTTACAGGATGAAATAAAGTGA